TTTAATGAATTTTCTTATCTGTGTTTTTACAAAGGGTTAAATTTAAAATTCAAGTTATTACTTATCTGTAGAGGAATCTTTTAAATTTTTATGACCCCCCCTTTCCCCTCAAATCTGTTGATTATTTCAATTGTTTAAATGCTTGTGAAAACTTTATCGTCAAATCTCAAAACAATACAAATTACCCCCACCCCCCTTTAAAAAAAGGTTTGTTAAAAAACATTTGCAAATAATATGTACTCTATAAGAATATAGTACATTCTAAATTAATATAAGTAAATTGAATTTTCAGTACCATTAAAGAAATAGATGATATGTTTAATTTTTAAACATGTATGTTTTAAGAAAACAATTTAAAATTTGGGGAAAAATCAGGTGCACAATTTAATACATGTATTTCTTATGCAAAGAACAAAAATGGAAATGGATTCAATATCGACCAGCTTCTTGACCCCCAAAAACACCACAGCCGTATTTTTTCTTTAACCCGATGGGAAACCCCCCCCCCCCCCCCCCCCTGCAGCTTATTGCCTTTTCTGTGGCATTATATTTCCTAGAAAAAAATAATTTTTTCTTCCCAAAAAGTTTAGCTTGGGATACAATTTAAGTGTATATACGATTTTTTTAAGTTGATGGGTACACTATCAGTTTTAAACAACCAGCAAAAAAAAAACTTTAAGAAAGGTTTTTTTAAATTTTGGGTTTGAAAAAAAGTGCATTACACTTAAAACTATGGAAATTAAACCCAAATTGTCACATTAAAATTTTTTATTATTTAAACCCCAAAATTTTTCTTGTGAGTAATATTACTTGTATTTTCAATTTAATTTTTAAATCACACGGATGCACAATATATTGTGTAAAAAGGTTCACCTTTGCATGTGCACTTCCATTTGCATTTTGCACTCTTGTTACAAAAAATAATGCCATTTTAATGTTTTTTGTAAATATCTTTCTGAGATTTATCGTAACTTTTAATTATTGGTATTTACGTGTTAGTATTTATTCACAAATTAAGTATGAGAACTACACTGTTTCCTATGGGTCAAATTGCCTTACACTCAAGTACTAGAATATGCCTTTAATTAACAGTGGAATTATTAAGTAAACAACAGCATTAAAAATTACGATAAATCTCAGAAAAATATTTACGTTACCGATATTTACGTTACCAATATTTACGTTACCATGTTTTAAATAAATTAAAAAATTTAAAAACTTAAGCTGTTTGAACAGATTTTCAAGTGAATTTTAATTATTTAAAAAAAAAAAACATGAAGAAAAACACTCTTTCTTAAAATGGCATTATTTTTTGAAAACAAGAGTGCAGAAATGCAAATGGAAGTGCACATGCAAAGGTGAACCTTTTTACACAATATATTGTGCATCCGTGGATTTGAAAATTGAATTGACATACGAGTAATATTACTCACAAGTAAAATTGTGGTTTAATGATCGAATGTTTCCAATGTGAGAAATTGGTTAAAAATCAAGGGTTTTAAAGGGGTAATGCACGTTATCATTTAAACATAAAGGAAAAAACTTTCTTTAAAATTTGTATTTTGCTGATTGTTTGAACTGATAGTGTATCATCAAATTAAAAAAACGTAGTATACACTTAAATTGTATACCAAGCTAAACATTTTGAAGAAAAAAATTTTCATTTTTCTAGGAAAAATAAAGCCACAAAAAAAGGGGAAAGCTGCATGGGGGGGGGGGGGGTTCCCCATCGAGTTAAAGAAAAAATACGGCTGTGAGTGTTGGGGGTTAAAAACTGGTCGATATTGAATCCATTTCCATTTTAGTTGCTTTGCATAAGAAATACATGTATTAAATGTATTAAATTGTGCACCGGGTTTTTCCCATTTAAATTGTTGCTTAGACATACATGTAGAACTTAGAAAAATATGCATCTATGCTTTAATGGTACTGAAAATTCAATTTACGTTATATTAATGTAGAATGTACATATATTGCTCTATAGAGCACATATTATTTGCAAATGTAATTATTAACAAACCTTTTTAAGGGTGGTGGGGGTAACTTTGTTTTGTTTTAGAGATTTGACGATAAAGTTTTTACAAGCCGTTAAGCAATTAAAATAATCAACAGATTAAATGATGGAAGGGGGGTGTCATAAATTAAATGATTCCTCTACAGGTAAATAAAAAAATTAATTTTCAATTCAACCCTTTGTCAAGAACACAGATAAGAAAATTCATTAAATTCAATAATTTGAAAAAAATAAATTTATTTTTCCCCCCAATATACTTTTATTTTTGTATGATAACTATGTGCGATATTTACGTGATATTTAACAAACACTTCGTAATCAGGTAATGGCGAAATATTTTACCTGCTGATATTCTAAATAATGTGCGTTTTTCTGAATAGATTAATAAAGACTTAAAAAATAAGGAAACATTTCATAAAGAATGAATGAATAATAATTATATAAAGTGTTGCATTATGCATGACTATGCCTAAATAGTAGGCAGGGTTTGTCACATGGTGCACGAGCCGGAGGCGAGTGCACTATGTGTCAAACCCTGCCTACTATTTAGGCATAGTACATGCATAATGCAACACGATTGTTATTATTATGCTGACTGTTGTTATTATTTATGCGGCAATCCATTTGATTTTTTCCTGAAAATAATGGTGGTAACACAACGCACTTGCAAAAAGCCAAAAACTCATTCAAAATCTTCATGCTAGAATTAGTTGCATGCTTAGTTATTTTGTTTACTAGTATTTTCTCTAAATAAGTAAGAATTTTCTGTCACAAAGATACTCACCTTTATTTTCTGTTTTGTTAGTAAGACTGATTTGTTTACAGAAGTGGATTCTCATTGATAATTTTCTTTTACATCCTTCAATCAAGCGCCATATAAAAAAAGCGTTTTAATGACCCCTTGATATCAATTCATCTAACGATCTGTATGTAATTAGTTTGAAACTTTGTTGTACACATTTATCTCAGATTCCTTAGAATAAATATAACTGTTTTCAAATAATATTTGTCTATTTTCTCCTTGTGTCAATTGTATACATTCAGTTTATATATTTAATAAAATTCTCCAAATCAGTGATCGTCTCTGTGGCGTAATCGATAAGGCATCGGACTGGCAACCTCACGGTCGTGAGTTCGATTCCCGATATGTCTAAAGTAGAGTTTTCTTCAGAAAGTAAAGCCGTGCTCTATTTCGGCATAGTATGCTTACGCTATATAAATCCTTAGACCACTATGCGAGAATAGTAGGGTATGGGCTATATAGAGACAAACTGACAGGAAGCATAATAATCTTTAATAATATTGTCATCATTTAGCTTATCGTCAGATTTGATAAAAACTTTTTAAAATAAAAAGAAAATAATTTCATTTAAGTGAAAATTATGCCTGTCTTGTTTTTACTAATAATTGAATCAAAGGTTCCACACCCTTTTACAAATGTGCTTAAACGGTTTCAAAAATGTTTATAGTTAACAAAATTCGGAGTGTATTATCTTAATTTTGTATTTTTCACTAAAATTCTTTCCTTTCCAAATATGGCTTTTCAACATCATGTAAATATCTTGGTGTAAAATTAGCCCTCCAACCGCATTCATTTCGAAGGAGGTCAACAAAACACAGCATGAAGTATGTAAATCAAATTGTGAGTTTTAATAACTATACACTTCAATGTTTCAAATAACATATAAAAGTGTTAGTTTCTGTTCACAAAATTATTTGACTTTTCCCAAAGTCGATTTGGTACCATAAATTGAGAATGCGTGAACAACGAATCACAGTTCACGTTACGTATGCAAGTTCGGCACTGCCAAAAAACATGAAAAACTCATTCCGTAGTTAACACAGCTGATAAATCCACTCAACGGTGCATTTTGCGGTTCAAAGAGGTACTCCTTCATAAGATCTGACGGATATTAATGTCAGTGACCTTTACTAAATTGATTTTCATTGTTTTAAATCAAACTTCGCACGTTTTAACGAGCGTAAATTTGAAATATTTACCATCAATAACAAAGTAATAAACGTATTTTTCAAAATTGAAGAGTTCTAACTTTCTGAGAACAACAAATTAGGATATTTTACGGCTATATTTCGGCGATTTTGCCCACGGGTGATAAGTAAAGACGAAATCACCCGTGGGTTTCCGACGATGTTATAGAGGATGCAGGGATATAGATGATATTTCAGTCAAGAAAAATAAATTTTAAAATCCCAGAATTGAACAGAAAATCTATTATTGCTATGTGTAATTGAAAATGTAAATTATGTAGCTGCAAGACTGGATTTCTGTTTCATATTATATTTTCTTTGAGGTCATTGTTGTTACATGTAATACAAGGATCGATTATTTTATTTTTAAAAAATCACCCAAAATGAAATTTAAGAAAAATATTTGCATTATTTTTACCTTTAAGATGCATAGACACAGATTTCAAGTTAATATTGTCTCAAATTTTCTTTATAGTATAACTTTAAATTTGTGTCTTTGCACCTTTGAGGTCCAACATACACATATTGTCCACATTTCAAGTATAATCAGTTTTATTTTACCCTTTATTTAAAATATAAAATAGAATATGAAAACACAAAAGTGAGAACTTTTGGACAGTTGTTTTAACAATAACTATGTTAGCGATAATTTGGCTTTGTCAGATAAAACACTAGGAAACAAAGATTGTGAAAATCTTAAATTAATGTCCTTCAAAAGGTTTTAGAAATAAACAGAGTTTATTACTCACCTTTCCGGGTTCTGGAATGGTAAAGTCCTTTTTCGGTAACATGATCTCGAAGCACAGAATTCAGATTTTTTTGTACAGCTAAGTCATTTTCGAGAACAACTATATTTTTTTCCAAGTTTAGAATGTCGGTTGAAAATGATGAAACAATTAGCATAAAAATATGACAAGTAAAAGTCATTAAACCCCACATGCCTAGTACACTGACTTTTCAGTACGTTTAAACTGAGAAGGAAAAATTCTTATCTTCTTCATGACGTCTTGATCTAAGTACAGTAAAAATATTTACATTAACAACATAGTCTCCCTGTACGTCAAAAATATGAGAAAAACGCACTTCCTCTCTTTGGATTTTCTCATCGGACACGTTTGTGAAATTCTGTAAAAGAACAGAACCATTTTCATTTTGAAGGTAACCGACAGCAGTAATGATACCTTGGGGATAAAGAGTAAGCGACGTGTTTTGGATATATATGTACGCGGTTTCCAATGTTTGATAGGTTTCTGCATATAGACCAAGTTCTTGTATCGGATGTAGGGAAACAACTGAGCAAGAATCTGAAACTTCAGAGACTTTATTGGCAGCAATCACGGTTATATTTATTTCTCCACCATCTAGGCCTATTTCTTTCCTAAGAGAGATCTCAGTGATATTATTTTCTGTGGTTACAGTTCTTTGAAACTCCAATGGTTGAAATATCCATGTCCACATGATTTCCACTTCTGCCCCATTTATTATTGATGCCATAAAGTCAAGTTCTGTTCCTACTCTGACGTGTCTCGGAAAGTCACATGTAAGCTAAAAATACAGATCAAATTATATGTAAATAAGGACAAAGAATATGATATATCTTGAATGAAAGGGACCTCTATTTTTGTAACGCATGTATGTAAAATTGAGATTCTTTTTCTTTGTTAATTAAAACAAAAAATGGAAAGCTATTTTAGAATATTTATTACCGTAAAAGATTGTCAAGCAACTTGCCTTAATTTTATAGCAACAAGAATTTGAAAAAAAAAGTTCAGCGACATCAGTTTGAGTGATGATAAATTAAAAGTATGACAAGAATCGAAAAAAATGTTTATAATGAAAAAATAGCCAATTCTTGTGTATTTTTAATTTTTTTTTTCATCTTGGCGATCATTAGGGAATGGGATCTACACTCGCAATATTTCCACATTTATTTTTTTTTCATTTCACGGAAAACAATATGTAATATAAATATCAACGTCTGTAAATAAAATAAAATGAGATAAGTATAAGTATACCAACTTGCTAAATCAACACTTACCATAATGGCATCAATGTTATTTTCACATAGCATGAAGGAACACACTTTCGTTGAATACACTTCATTCCATCCTCTACAACAAATTTCGTAGTTTCCTATGGCTGAGTAATTTTTTGACAATGGAGTTTGGAAAAAACGGTCCTTATAAGAATCTTTTTCATTTTCAAGTAAAGTTCCATCCCCAAAATGTAATATGAAATTGAAATATGATCGTGGTGTTGATGTCAATTCCAAATCGAAATTTTCTAAAACTGTAACTCCCGTAGACGAAGTTGTAAAGTTCAGTCCATCAAGTTTATCCCAAATTCGAACGACAACTTCCATGAATTTTGATTCATTTACAGAGGAAATGTTTCCAAATATTTTATAATTACCTTGAAGTTCGAATGCGTGTTGTAAAAACAGACCAGATTTAACCTGGTCATCTGTCAGATTTGCTAAATCAATCACATTACTGCCGCTTGTATCGTTAATCTTTAAGTTTAAGGATGTGATTCCAACTGGATAGGGGTTGTCTAGATTCGTTTTTATAGTAATGTTAATTGTCTCTGTGGTTTCATAATAAATATTTGGAATGTCAATGTAAAATCCGTCTAGAGGATTAAGAAAGGTCACTAGACAGGAAGTCGACATTTCTGATATATTGTTTCTTGCCAAGATTCCAATATGTAAATTTCCTGTTTGGGAGATCTGGTACTGCAGTGAGGTGTAATTTTGATTGGAAGATTGACTTTCGTGAAACGTGTGGTTGACTCTCCAAATCCATTCTACTCCAAGATCGGCACCTCGATCCACTACTGCGTTTAGGATTGTTGAACCTTCTTTTGTTGATACATACCTCGTGCACTTCAGCTATTTTCAAAATAAATTGGCAAATTGTATCCTTCATTTTACCAAAAAAAAAGTTTTAGAAATTACCCAATAATACATGTAATATAATTACATGTAATATTGGGTAATATGACTGTATACGAAGCATTAAACTTTTTTTTCAAAAGAGAAGTACTTGAGTTCTGTTAAATGAAAAGAAGTTAAACACTGACCTTCAAAACAACATTTAGATATGCTTTAAAAATTTAACAATACCCGTATTTAGGTTTATTCGATCTATACTCAAAATAAAAGACATCAAAAAACCTTTCTTGTCAGTGTTATTTTAGGATGACTTACTGAATATAGAGATGTAAGATCCTACTAACAAATAAACTGTTTTTTGTTATAATATTCACCTATATGATGTTTTCTCCACCCATTTATTTGATACCAAAGAGCGTGTTCTGGAAATGATAAATAATTTTTTAAACAGAGGCGGGTTACTGACAATGGGATGATATTACAGGGCTAACATATTTAAGGAACATCCAACCGTTAACGTCCGATTTTGTAAAATTGTGATGCATGCATGCATTACATACTAGTAATTGCATATCTTTATTTTTTGTCATTTATTTGACTTGTATTGAATAAATGACCATTCTTATTCCTTTACTTGTGAGTTACTGTCATGTTTTTGTGGAGTCGGTCAAATAACATAAACATTGAAAGGCGATTACCTACCTCTACATTAGTAATTGACTCCTCCACCTGAACACTATGCGATATGTTTTTAGAATAAACTGCATTCCATGCATAAACGTTAATAGTATACCTTCCTACAGAGTTGTATGCTTTAAGCCAAGAAGTTCCACTGAAAATTTGGCTATCAGAGGCAGAGTGTGTTCTATATGTGCCGTCACCGTACGAGATTTTAAAACTGAAGTCGGAGCGTGGAGGAAATATCCATGTCAATTGGATAGAATCATATACGCTTATGAATGATTTGGAAATGTTTAGATCCAAATTTTCAAGTTTGTCCCATATTCCAACAATGGTTGAAAGATTTACGATGTTTATTTCCGATTTAAGACTCCCATAAACATTGTAGTAACCCTGTTCAATAAATGAATGCTGAAATTGTATCACGTCTTGTAGATCTGTGTTGGTTAAGCTTATATTAATTAATAGTGTTCCAGCTGATGTCTCATTGGTTAATATTTGCAGTGTTGTATTTCCCACAGGGAAGTTCTGTGACCCGCTACGAAGTGTTATCTCCACTTGGTCTGTTGTCTGATAAAAACCAGTCAGAGGCTCAATGACATACCCTTGAAGGGGATAGAGTACCCGCTGTACGCAAAAGGCTGAAGTTTCAGAGACAGGGTTTCGTGCGATGACTTCGACGTTAACATCTCGGCATTCCGTGACGCTGTATTGCAGAGTAGAATGGGTGAGATTATTAGTTATAACTCTTTGGTTATTGTCAATATTCCAAATCCAGTCAATGCCAAGGCTGACTCCCCCGGTCACTGTTCCAGAGAGTGAAACGTTTCCTGATTCCATCGAAACAAAATTTTCACAATTGATCTGTAGAAAAATTTTTTTTATAAATGTTTGACAAAAACGCAATAAACATAGCTTTCAAAACACACCTTACAAACTATATGTGATGAATGTATTGAACGGTACGACATTTAACTCTGGACACGACATAGTACAGACTTTTTACTACCATTTCTAATTGTGATATCCAAAATATTTTTATATCTCTTGGTGGGATTTCTTAGCAGTATCACAGAGTCTTATGTTGAACTCACAAACATCTATACTTCTAAAGATATGAAGTCCTAAAACTCAAAATCCCATGGGAGAATGGTTAATTTACTTCTACCAACTATCCCACCATTCTCCCATGGGAGAAAAAATGTGAGATGGGAAATTTTCTCTTGTGGGATTTTTTCTCCCACAAATTTGTTCATATGGGATTAATCCCACGGATATTGACAATCAAACAATGTCTCCCATACACTGTGAAACATGGAATACATCCATACATTATGACGATGACTCATTTCTCATCATAATATATAGAATATATTCCTACTATAAAAATGTACAGGTGAAAATAATTAACTGTCAATATCCGTGGGATTCATCCCATCAAATCATTTCAAATATTAATACTGGCAGCGTTTATCGATGCTCTTTGCAATATGCACTTTAATGTCAATGCCGGATAACAATACTTCTTGAGCTCTCGATCCCTCATCCTTTATGTTACATTCATCTTTTTTATGTAAGCTCTGAAGCTACTTTTAAGAAGAAACAACGAAATATGTAATACTTCCGTTTCTATTGTTATAACACGTCTTTTATTTTTTTGAAATTACACAATATTAAAATGTTAATGAGTATTATATTATCGATGTAATTTTTGTCCCCCGCTTGAAAAGTGGGGGATATTAATTTGGGTCCGTCCGTCCGTCCGTCCGTCCGTCTTTCTGTCTGTCTGTAAAGCTTTCGTTTCCACACGATATCCCAAGAACCCTTTGAGCTTTTGCAGTGAAATTTTGCATAGCAACTCCCTATGGACTAGAGAAGACCCCTATTGATTTTGAGGTCAAAAGGTTAAAGGTCATAAATTCGCAAATTCTCTCTGTTATAACAGTTTCGTTTCCACGCGATATCTCGAGAACCCTTTGAGCTTTTGCAATGAAATTTTACATAACAACTCCCTGTGGCTTAAGGAAGACCCCTATTGATTTTGAGGTCAAAATGTCAAACTTCAAGGTCATAAATGTATACATTCTGTTCGTGTGTAACACTATCGTTTTCGGGTGATATTTCAAGAGGATTTTGAGCTTTTGCAATGTTATTTTATACCAAAACTAGACCCTCTCTCATCCCCCTCAAAGTGTCACGCCCAGCTTGTTGTCCCCCGCTTGAAAAGTGGGGGATATTAATTTGGGTTTGTCCGTCCGTCCGTCCGTCCGTCCGTCTGTCCGTCCGTCCGTCCGTCCGTCCGTCTTTCTGTCTGTCTGTAACGCTTTCGTTTCCACACGATATCTCGAGAACCCTTTGAGCTTTTGCAATGAAATTTAGCATAGCAACTCCCTATGGACTAAAGAAGACCCCTATTGATTTTGAGGTCAAAAGGTCAAAGGTCAAGGTCATAAATAAGCAAATTCTGTCTGTTAAAACACTTTCGTTTCCACACGATATCTCTAGAACCATTTGAGCTATTGCAATGAAATTTTACATAACAACTCCCTGTGGCCTAAAGAAGACCCCTATTGATTTTGAGGTCAAAAGGTCAAAGTTCAAGGTCGTAAATTTATACATTCTGTCTGTGTGTAACACTATCATTTCCGGGCGACATTTCAAGAAGATTTTGAGCTTATGCAATGTAATTTTATACCAAAACTCCCTAGGACGTCTCTCGCCCCTCTCAAAGTGCCCCGCCCCGTTTGTTTTATTAGTATTTATAGTATTACATGTCGCTATTTTTAGCGCAGGGGCATGAGGAGAGTTATTGCGTATAAAACAGGTTCTCGGCGGACTTTATGTTCTTATTACATCTATTAGAACTATTTAATAAAGGCTAAATAAATCAAACACCATGGATTGTGTATAATTTTAAGAATACCGAACATGAAAACATGAATATATACATGTACGTGACTTTGGTTCTGCATATACTTCATTCCATGTATAGCGACTCCGTGGTCTAGTGGTTATGTCTCTCGCTTCAAATGTGAGAGGTCCCGGGATCGAACGGGCTGAACCTTTTTTTTTTTTTTTTTTTTTTTTTAAAATACTTTTTTTTTTTTTTTTACTAAATGATAGTATTCAGCATGTGAAATGAAAAATTTATGAGGTTATAAAATCATCATTACAGTGTGATAAATATTCCATATAAAAAAATCTTCTATACACATAATAAAGAATAAGCAATCAAATCTTTATATGCATATTGACATACATGTATTTTATTTCCTTCAGTATACATGTATACATTTAATAATTCTACAAATTCAGTCAGGGGGGAGCCGACTTTTTCCCTAAGCGGGGGACACGAATTCTCTGAATTAGCTTGTTTGATTAGTATTTATTGTATTACATGTCGCTAATTTTAGCACAGGGGCATGAGGAGAGATATTACGTATAAAACAGGTTGTCGGTGGACTTTATATTCTTATTACATTTAATAGAACTGTTTACTGAAGGTTAAATTAGACATCATGCATTGTGTAAAATTTTGACAATATCCAACGTGAAGATATACATGTATGATACTTTATGTTTGCATATATTTTTCGCTAAATTAAAGGGCCGCCATGGTCTAGAAGTATGTCTCTCTCGCTTCACATGTGAGAGGGCACGGGTTCGCATCCTGGATGAGCCATTTTCTCTTTTTTTTCGAAATACGTTTTTTTTTACCAAATGATAGAATTTAGCATGTAAAATGAAAAATTTATGAGGTCTGGCTTGTACAAACTCAAAAAGTCATCATTACAGTGTGATAAATATTCCATATAGGCCTAAAAGACTCTTCAATACACATAATAAAGAATGAGCAATCAAACCTTTATATCCATATTGGCATGTTTTATTTCCTTCAGTATACATGTATACATTTAATAATTCTACAAAATTCAGTCAAGGGGATCCGATCCCCCCTCCCCCCGAACTGCTTATGGTTTACTTTTTCCCTAAGCGGGGGACACAAATTCTCTGAATTAGCTTGTTGAATAGTAGTTTCCTACATTTATGTAAAAAAATTAAATTTTTATAACATATAAACGTGGGAAACAACGCAGAGAAAATTATGCCAGTTTGAAAAAAGCATGTTATTTTCTTACAGGCAAGATAATTTTTTTTTCACGGGAGGCAGGGGATGTGATATGTTTACATAAAAAGAAAAAGAGTCATTTAGATAACAATTTCTTATGAGATTGCAAATTTTCTTTAAGTTCTTTAAATTTAAATTCAATTCTAGTAGATTACACCCACCACGCAGAATAAGTCTTTAAATAAGAATATATTTAATAACTTTTTGACCCTGTTTTTTAAAACAGATAATTTTAAAATTACTGATAAAATCTTCTTTCCATTAAAGCAAATTTAATGCATGGTCAAACTGTCTTTTTTCTTCTAAATTGCTATTTTGAGTAGGCGGGAATTGATTATCATGAGTCTGGCAATAAAGAGAGGATTTTTGCGGGTAGTGCTACTGATATTAAATTCCTCGCTTATAATTTTTAGAAATCTGTGGCATTTTAAATATTTAATTTGCCTTGGGCCTATCGTGTACTAGTATTGTATTGAAATATTTTGTTCAATTGTTTCAGGTCCGATACTATTTTCTGCTTATCTGACGAGTTCTTACAATCCAATGAGCCCGAAACAAGTAATTCCATTTGACAGCACTCAATTTAATATTGGTGGAGGATACGACCGATTTTTTGGCCTTTTCCGTGCCCCGGTGTCTGGTTTCTATCAATTTGTCCTTACCAGCCAGGCTAATACCAACTCTTACATGGTCGATCTTGAGATGGTAAAGAACGGAAACATGATTTGCCGGGCACATGCTGCTACATACGGTCAGCAGGGATACTGCGCCGCCATGGTCCACCTAAACAAAGATGATGACGTCTGGGTTAGACACTACAATGATATTGGAACATACCTTTCTAACGGATATTTTCCATCATTTATCGGTCATTTAATAAAGGCAGATTAAAAATCAAATTTGGCATTTAATACGTTTGCAGAAGTACAGTGCACATGCTAAATAGTCTATAGACTGTTGCAACCATAAATGAAATATTGAAATTTAAATAATGTACTAAAATTGTTAATATATTTAGCTTCTGGTGTATCTTAATTAATTGATTGTCTGTTGGTTTTTTTTTTTTTTTTTGCATACCTGTTTGAATTATAAGTTGACCAGTTTGATAATAAACAAGAGGCCTATGGGCCACATCGCTCACCTGAGCACTGTAGCTAGGAAAGAGTAGAAATTGGTTCATGATTGAAAAGTTTAAATCCCAAAGTAGTTGCATGACCAATCATGGCTTTGCTTTTCTTGAGATGATGATTTTTAAAGAATTTTTTACGTATGTCTATGTAAACCTTTGGTCGGCCATTGTGGCCCCGCCTTACCCCCGGAGGTCATGAGTTAAACAAACTTGAATCTATACAACCTGAGAATGCTTCCACATAAATATGATCAATTATGGCTTTGTTATTCTTGAGAAAAAGGTTTTTTAATGAATTTTCCTATTTATTTCTATGTAAAACTTTGGTCGGCTATTGTGGCCCCGCCCTAACACCGGGAGCATTATTTGTACAAACTTGAATCTAGTGTACTACCTGAGGATGTTTTCCCATAATTTTCATCTTTCCTGACGCAGTGGTTCTTGAGAAGAAGATTTTTAAAACATACCACCAAAGTTTCATTAATTCCCAATTATATCCCCTTGAATGAGGGCCCTTTATTTGAACAAATTTGAATCCCCCAAGGATGCTTTGTGGCAAGTTTGGTTGAAATTGGCCTAGCG